TAAGGGATTCTTTGAGGTTTCTTTTAAATTACTTTCTTTCTGAGTAGTTTCTTTAGGAGTATTTTCTTTTTCTTTATTTGAATCTTCTTTTTCTCTTTCCAATAAATTTTCTAATATCTCTTGTTCTGCAATTTCTAGGTCGTCATTTTCTCATTGGCATTTACGATTTCAGGAATTATTGAAGAAAGGGATGTCTTTTTCCAGAATACTTATGAAAGTTTGTTGATTTTCTTGATTAGGAGAAGAATTTAGACTGGCGACGAAAGCTAATAGGGTTTGTAGAGCTTCTTGCTGTTTATTCTCGGGAGCTCTATAATTAATTATATTAGAGTTAGGGTTTGTTGAATTTTGGTTTTGGAAAAATTGTTGTGGTAGGTTAATAGAGTTCAAATTCGGGATAGTGTTTGTTAAAGGATTTAGGGTCATTTGGCTATAACAATTTCAACTAATATAGCCAGGCTTTCCGCACTTGAAGCAGACGAGTTTAGATGAGTTTCTGGAAGCAGGTGATCTTCGTTTTTCTTGCATTTGATTTAACATTTTGTTAACAGCTTCAGTTAACTTTTTAATTGCTGATTCAGAGGTTGTTTGTGGGGTTAAAGAGTTTACTGTACCACTGGAATTATACTTGGGTAAATATAGGGCATTGATTGGTGTTAGGGTATAGGGAAAGTTTTGTTTACAGGCACTTTCATAGGCTTTTGCCTGTTCGTAGGCAGCCTGTAAAGTGTTCAGGGTGGATGGAGCAACTGTGAAGATATATTCTGGTCTCAACCCATTTAAGAATATTTGGGCTTTGGTGGTATCTAAATATTGTGGACCTCTGAATTCAACTCTGCGAAGAAGTTCCTGAATAGCAGTATAGTAAGTATCCATATCTTCATTAACCTGTTATTTCCAAGTTGCTAACTATGCAAACTATCTCCCTTCTAAAGTAGGGGTTCGGAACTGCATAATGAAGCGAGGACGGAAGCTCCTATTTGGTTGAGCAGGATTGTTCTATACGTTGATGGGATTGAGTTGACATTGGCTAGTCGACCACCAAGTAGCAGCAGGTCCTTTGAGGTGAAGAACAATTACGAGAATATGACGATCATTATCTATGAGGTTTGCTGCAAAAGCTTTTTCCACTTCATCTAGCCAAGTCATTGGGTCTTGGTTGCCACCAATATAATTGGGATAGTGGACTAAATTTAACTCTCAATTGGAGATATTTACTTAAGAGGCGAGCGCTACTTGTATTTGTTGAATAAGTAGTCTGATTTGAGCAGCTAAATTATCGATCGCATTAGGTTGGTTGGGTTGGTTTGGCTGGTTTAGTCGTTGAGCCATCAGTTTATTCTTAAAAAAAAAAAAATGGAGTTTGAATTATTTTTAAGATTTGGTTTGTATTAATCTTTAAAATTTATTCAATAGGTGTCTCGTGTATCCACACAATCAGCACTAATTGTAACTAATGAATTTAGAAGAGCGAAATACTTTTATAAATAAAATGTATAAATCAAGGGCCAATTTAACTCCAATAGTTTACGGATAGAGGTAAATTTATTATTCTTTATAAATATGAGGGAGTGTAATCAATCTGTTTAGTGATATCAAGGGCGAGGGAGATATATGTAATATATCACTAATAATTCTTTAAATTTTCTTTTTGGGTCGTCTTTCGAACTAGTCATATGACTTTCCAGTAATCGATCAGGGTCCGAGTCTTAATAATCTAATTTGAATTTACAAGTCAATTCAGTATACTGAATTGAGTCTCGAATAGAGAATTAAATTTAAAGTCAGATTTAATGAAGAAAGTTCTTTACTTTACAAAATTCAAATAAGTATTTTTATTTTATTTTACACTATTATTAGGGGATGTTAGGCATATAGAACATACTATTACTTTATTGAATTTGAACTACTTAAATACATTTTGATTTTACAGGTTGTTTTCGCTATAATTTTAACAAGTACATATTTTCTTACAAGTAATACTATTTACTTAGCGCTTCCATAATTTCCCCAACATCTGCACCTTACATTTCATGTATACGTTTAAATTTTGGCACATACATGAATTAACTAATCAACAACCAGTTAAGCCACTATATCATAATGTATTTCCTTTTTTGTAAAACTCTTTGAATTTCCCCATAAATGCATTTTGAATATAAACGTATATAGAATAATATTTACAAATAAAAATATAAAAATATGAAATAATAAATATAAAAAAAATAAAATAATTTTTTTTTTTTTTTCAGCAATCATGCTAATACTTTATTTAATCAATAATTTTAATCTATAACTAAAACATTTCTATCTAGTATATATTACTATCTAGTGACTATTGCTAAGTATTAACTCACTCAGTTGCCATTATGGTATCTAAGTGCGATCTGCTATAGTGACCTTTGACCTCTTTACTTTCAGACTTCTAGAAGGAGTACCTAAAAGTACCTCAAAGGAAGGATGCCACAGCCTATAAGAAAAAAAAAATAATATAATATAAAATAAAAAAAAATAATTAAACAGATAATATAAGGGAACTAAAATATATTCGTTACAATACTTACTTCTTTACTAACAATATTATTTTCTAATAATTAAGTTATCCATTTCATTGACACATAGTCACGTTAATTCTTACAACCCAAAATACACTAGCATAAAAAAACAATCATTTAGTTTTGAAACAAACATAAAAATTATCTTGTTATTTATCAGTTTTTGTTTGTCAGTGAACGTATTAAAATTTTAGGTAGATATATAAGCCTACACCCTAAAGTATTAATAATTTCTAAATTCAGTTTCTAGTTACTCATTTTATAGACAATTAATTTTACATAAAACTGAAAGGTTCATTTTATTTCACAGACAATTCATTTTACAGTTATAAAATTAGAGGAATATATTTTATATATCAATCCACGTTGATTTTAACTATACGTCATTTTAAATTTATATGCCAAATTCACTATTGTGAACTAATAATATGATACTTTTACAAATACACATAAAATCTGAAGTCAAATGTTGGGTTCTTTATATGTTTACAGTAACAGTAGTTAAAGTTGAAAACATAGAGAGTATCAAAAATGAAATTTATAGTTGTAGTATTCAAACTTATTTCGAACAAATTTGATGCAATTACAAAACAAAACGATTGAAAGTTATGTGATTTCTGAAACAAAGTAAATAGACAAGAATTCCAACAATGTCTTATAGTCCATGGTGTAAGGATGGTCACTAAACATATAGATCTTAATGCTATTAAAATTTTATTTTTTTAGTCAGTATCATACTCGTTAATAAAAATATGAGTTTCTCTTGAAAGCCAAGTTTGATCATATGATTTATATGTCTCATAAGACCAGTTACAAGACAAAGACATATCGATATGTCAAATCATGATTTCAAAATGACTTACAGGGTATGTCAACATGTATTTCAATTTTATAAGAAACAAATTTATTGTCAAATGAGTTAGCAGTACAATAAGTTGTCTACAAATTTAGTCAGTGAATTAATTGTCTGTGAACTAAAGTTTCTAAAGTGATTGTCAGTAGATCTGTTTATAAGTATAGTTTGACTTCTCTATAGTCACACCCTTGGTTCTAAAAAATTTCAGGATTATATAAAGATGTGACTGTTTAAAGGTTTTTAATAAAACCTCTATTTAGTCGCACCTTTATTTATAAAAGAAATATGTGACTATATAGAGAGATAATAAAATAATTAAAAAGAGAAAATTGCAATCAAATTCTCTAAAATTTGAGATTACTTTTTGTCAAAGTTTTCAAAAAATTTATTCAATTTTATAAGTTATATACTAGTAAAAAATATATATACTGTAATCTCAGAGTAATTATCTATTTTAAGATATATATATATATTCATACTTACAAATCTTGAATGAATACACTCTCGTATTGAATAAATTAGAATCTCTAAAAATCATATATCTAATAATTTAATTGTAACAACATTCTTTCATTAGTATAGTATTCTATTGTTCATTACTACACAAGTAAGTTATATACTGAACTTCTTATTTCTCAAATACTTCGAATTAAAAGATCTGATATTAAAAGGATAGAAGATTGTTTCAAAGAGTTTTACAACAAAAGCGAAAACAATTTTTAAAAATATGCAAAAAAGAAGTTAGTTGTTTTCTTTATTTGAATTTGCCTCTTATATTAATTTTACTATTACATCACTTGTATATTACTATACTTTAACCTTCACTATTATTACTTTAAACTATGTTTATATCTGTTATTAAAATGATAAGTTAAAACAAATTTATTTATTTTTTAAGAATACATGCAAATAATTATACAAAGCTGTAATATAGATTATACTCTTGTATATATAACATATTAATCATTGTCTACACTATTTCTAATACCAATTTGTTAATGAATATTCCTCTGATACTTACTAATTCCTTGTTCAAATAATATTCAAATTAATCAAACAAGCAAATATTTACTAAATAATTGCTTTTAATATTTGCTGAATACGAATATTAGCTACATAAATTTTAGCAAATATGAGAGAAACCTACTTTTTTTTATTTAGCATAAAAATAAAGCTACGTATAAAATAAAAAACCTTTAATTATAACTAAAAACTGTGCTATAGTATAATTTTGTTAAATTTGCTGCTTCTGTAATGACATATAAAAAAAAACAGAAATCTAATTTTAAACATATCTACAAATAGGCTTTATTCTGAAAGCAAGCAAGAAGCAGAATTTTGCACAAATTCTGATTCTGCTATTATAGATTTCTGAACACCCTAATATTAAAACAATTCTAATATTATGATAAATACAGTAGTACAGTAATAAAATAACTATAATAGCATATCTGATTAAAAAAGGTTTGAATTTTTGTTTGTTTTTTTGAGCCTTCATACATACAATATGTTATATTACTATATTTATAAAATATTTTCAAATCTTCAACATCAAAATTTTTATAATTCTGCTGTTCAAAGAATTCAATCTATGTTTTAAGAGCATCATATCTTTTTTTAACAGAAATAAGAGGAGTTTCAAATTCTGAATTATCACTTTCACTATGATTCTTTTCTTTTTCTAAAACAAGTTGAACAATTTGATCATCAGTTAGATCTTCTTCTGTTGGAATAGTAGTATTAAAACTATCTAAATACTTGAATAAATTATCAGCTAAAGCTGTTACAAATTTATCAGTAGTTTCATTAGACCAATTTTGTAGTATTGAGAAAAGATTATTGTTATCATCATAATTATAAACTTCCTCTTCAACATCTAACAATATATCAATATTATCTACTACGCTAGGTAAAATTCCTGTTTTTTTCCAACAATTCTTAATTGTTAATTCATGAATATCTTCCTAGGCAGAAGCAACATATTTAATTGCATCTTTAAGAGTTATCTTATTTCTAAATTTAAAATAAATGATTTAAATTGAACTATAGTATATAATATATAAGTAATACTAAGATAAAATTAGATTTTAAACTTTTAAATTTATAATTTATTAGACTTAATTCTTAATAAAATCTTATATAATAGATCTAATCAGTTATAAATTTAAGAGAAAATTTGATTTTCTCTTAGTATTATCTTTTATATAATAATATTATTATAATATTTACTTATCTAAATCTTCACTTTTATCAAATTGATAAAGTACATGACAGCAATATAAATGCTTGTATTTAGCTTTGAATGCAGCAATAATGCTAGTATCCATTGGCTGTAAGTGTGCTGTCATATTCGGAGAGATAAAAACAACTTTAATATTTGTAAGATTTAAAGATGATAAATTTTTTTTTACAGATTTTTTTGATTTTTTTAATTTTTTTGGTTAAGCTGATTTACGTGATCTTCTACATTTATTTGTTTGTATTGGTTACTCAATAATTTCATTTTCAGATAAACTATTAGTCTCTACTTCATTTAATGCATCATTTGGACCTTTAACTATATCTTCGTTAGGATCAAAATGAGATGTTGTATTATCAATTAATAAAATAACTTTGCGATCTTCAATACAAAACTCTTGATCTAAATATCGAAGCCACTTTTCAAAAATATCAGATCGTATCTAAGCTTTACTATTTGCAAAATATATTACTAGTAAAGTATTCAAATTAATATTTTTGAAGTATTGAGGTTTTGGAGATTTTCCAATAACTAAAGGTTTTAATTTATGAGTTCCTGTTGCATTTGTTCCAAACAAAATTGTTATACGAGTTTTATTCTATATTTAAAAAAAAAAAATACATAACTTTAAATAATTTAAATACAAGGTATCTTTAGAGTTAAGGTAGAAGTTTATGTTAGGGTAAGAGTAGGTAATCAATTTAATATTCAAAATACCTTTTTTTTACCTGAAACAGGTGTCGTTGATAATGTTTGATTTGGAGCCATTCGATAAAACAACCCAGTTTCATCTGCATTATATATATTCTCAAGTTTATATTCAGATAATATTTCTTGAAGTTTATGTCTTTCTTCTGACAAATTATATATATATGCACTTGCAGCCTCATCATGAATATGATATTTTCAAAGATTTTTACGAATTTTAAACTTTTGAACCTATCTATTTGAGAAATTAAGGTCATTTTTATCAATATTAAATGCCTAAGCAAACTCCATACCTTTTTCTTTTAATAGTTGATCTGAAAGTGGCAAACCTTTTGCTACTGCTTGTTGTACCCATATTTCTATAGCATTTTCAATATTTGGATATTTGACTTCTCTATGACAATACATATCAAAAGAGGATTCCTTATCATTCACAGTATTCCATAATTCTTTTTTTTTATAGGTTTTTGATATAGTAGTGCGGTCAAGAGTTAGCTCATATTTTTCATTAAAAAAGTTAGCAACTTCTGTTTGATTTTTATTTGGGTTTTTATCAATAAAATCACAAATTTCTTTGCGAATACTATTAGTTATTTGGGATTATGTTTTTGAAATTTTAGAGTCTGATACCATTTTAGATATAGTAAAGCTATTTTAAAATAAAAAATTTTGAAGATAAAATTATAGTTTTTAATATAGCATGAATTAAGCTGATTTTATAAACTACTGTACTATACTTATATTTTACTCAAATAAAGATGTCAATATAACCCAATATACAAATAGATTTCTTTCATTTTTTATGAAAACAAATTTAATGAATTTCCTTTTTTTTTCTGATAACGATAAGACTTTTTTTTTATGAAACTAGTTTTTTTTTTTTTTTTATAAAGATTATGTCATTTATGCATATATTGAACTCAATGAAATAATCAGATATTTATTTTGCTGATGAGGATATTGAAATTGTCAAGATACTATTTATAAAGAAGCTCACAATGCAATTACGCTATAACTAGAAATATATAAAAATAATTTGTAAGCATCATGAAATTTTAGACCTACAAATATTCAAAGATACAGTACTACTTCCTTAATCTTCACTATTATTAATATTGAATTGTGTTCTTAATTATAAATATTTAACTCTTGATAAAAGAGCATTTAATAAATATATGTTGTATATAAAATTAATATCTGAAATTACTGTATACTTCTAATAACTAACATAAACTCCCATACTAACTTTAAAGGAACTCCTTATTTATATTAATCTGATGCATGACATATATTAATATAACTAAATAAATTTAAAGATAATACATAGCAGTAATGATAGTACAGAATTAGTATGAGAATATTTCAAGTTTTAAATCAATATCCTTAAAATGGTAGTACTAATTAAATCATATATATATTCCAAGTTGTATTTCTGTAGTCTTAGTATGTGCTTATTCTCAATGTTACAGTATATACATATGCATGTACATCCTAATAAAGCTTTATTGAATAAGGGCTACATTAGGGCTGTTAATTAGTTCGTCTAGTTCGTCTTAGTTCAAAGACCTGATGGTTTTTTAAAAAATTAGACCAGACTGAGTTCAGGACTAATTTAAGACCAATCATATTCAGACTAAACTGATTAATAGACTAATTAAAATTTTTATACTGTATATTTAAGTTTTCTTACTATATCTCCTTGTTAGTTTTATCATTCTTGATCTCAGAGAATTTTAATTATATAATTATTGTACTATAATTAATAGTATCAAATTATATACTGTATACAAACAGAGGAATTTTATGCGAAAAGTAATCCTTTAGATTTTATTGTGATACTGTATATAAATGGCCTAATAAAGAATCAAATATGTATTAAAATAAAATATTCCTGTAATTTGCTACATTGTTATCTAATTGATATGTCTATAGGCAAATCTAGTTTAACCTACTATGGTTTTGTGAAGTCATAACGAAGTCATAACTAAATCGAGACCTTCACAGTCATGTAACCTGGTTCTCTTTTAAACATATTTAGCTTTTATAATCTTCGGAGACAGTGGTGTACAATAATAAGCAAAGCTAGTATTTGTACCTGATTAAAAAAATACTACTTGGGTTATCTGATGAATGAACTCGCAGGTTACTCGAGTAATCGACTGATATACCTGGTATAAAAGTTTATATTATATTAATATTTTGATTTTTTTTATCTGTACCAGTCTGATGTAATAATATCTGAGACTGTAATATTAACCAATATATTTTAGCAAAAAAAAG